CAGAGGTAAGATCCCAGATACTGTTCTCTCTCCTGTGTCCTGCCCTCACTTAATTCTATTCCTGGGTGTTCTCATTCACAGCATGGCTTTCCCTTTGCTTTGCTGCCCTGGGAACCACTGCTTTTTGAGGGTGGTTGGCTGAAGAAGGATAGGATCCCCCTCAGGAGGGTTGTACCTCTGATTAGTGACTTAAAGTGTTCTCCTGTGGCAGTCCACACAGCAAGGGGCAAATGATACCAGAAATTCCAAGTAGAAGATTCCACTGAAGACATTAATGTTTTAAACTGATTCATGGTAATTTAAATTTTCTCACAAATGCAGCCTTCCTCCCCGCTCCCCCCTCCCACTTATACTGTCTATAAGAAACACTTTAAAGACACAGATAGGTTGAAGATAACAAAATGGAAAAAGATCTACCATGCAAACAAAACAATAAGCATCACATAGCTGGTGTGGCCATACTGATATCAGATAAAATGGGCCTTAATGCACAGAGTATCAGTAGACAGAAAGCAACACTTCTCCATAATAAAAGATCAATTCCACTAGAAATACACAACAGTCAAAAGTTTGTATGTGCCTAATATACATCTTCAGAATACATGAAGCAGATGTCACCCACAATGACACTAAAATGAGAGATGGGAGGGGTTGGGGCTGGTTGCTGGCCAAGGAGTAGAAGGGTATAGTTTCAGAGGAAGAAGAACGTGACCTTCACAGACCCTGAGGGGTTGGCCAGACACAGGAAGAGAATCCTGGGGAGGGGAGCACAGAACCTCTCTGATGATGGGAGAACCAGATGATGAGGAGCAAGAATGGGTGTTTCATGGGGTTCCTAGGCTAATAGCAGAGCTCAATAAATATTTGTTAAACCCATGACAAAATGGGAGCTTAAATCACACTATTCTGATGTAAGAAACTGAAGTTCCACTGGCTCGATGAGGTGGGGAGTGTGTCCACATAGAAGGTGACTACCCCACCCTAGATAACCCTGCTCCTGAGATTTTCCCATTCAGGCCCTCCCTGAGGGAAGTGCTGGGATAGATATCCCCCTATCTGAATCAGAAGAATGGAGAACACCTGTATCTGAAATCTCCACCGAGCTAGTCTTGGGCCCTTCTAGACTTTAGCCAGTGTAGTAACTTTACCTTCATAAAAAGGAAAGGTGCCTCAGGTCACTTATGCTAGCCCCATGTCATCAAACAGGACTTAATATTTAACTTAATTACAGTTTCAGCTCTTCCCAAAATGGAATCAAACTTGTCAACCAGGAATTACTTGGTCAGCATTAGTGAGGTAATTTGTTCTTTAGACACTACTATCCTTCTGCTTATTTAACTTATTTGCAGAGTACATCATGAGAAACACTGGGCTGGAAGAAGCACAAGCTGGAATCAAGAATGCTGGGAGAAATATCAATAACCTCAGATATGCAGATGACACCACCCTTATGGCAGAAAGTGAAGAGGAACTAAAAAGCCTCTTGATGAAAGTCAAAGAGGGGAGTGAACAAGTTGGCTTAAAGCTCAACATTCAGAAAACTATGATCATGGCATCTGGTCCCATCACTTCATGGGAAATAGATGGGGAAACAGTGGAAGCAGTGTCAGACTTTGTTTTTTTGGGCTTCAAAATCACTGCAGATGGTGACTGCAGCCATGAAATTAAAAGACGCTTACTCCTTGGAAGGAAAGTTATGACCAACCTAGATAGCGTTTTCAAAAGCAGAGACATTACTTTGCCAACAAGGTCCGTCTAGTCAATGCTATGGTTTCTCCAGTGGTCATGTATGGATGTGAGAGTTGGACTGTGAAGAAAGCTGAGCACAAAAAAATTGATGCTTTTGAGCTGTGGTGTTGGAGAAGACTCTTGAGAGTCCCTTGGACTGCAAGGAGATCCAACCAGTCCATCCTAAAGGAGATCAGTCCTGGGTGTTCATTGGAAGGACTGATGCTGAAGCTGAAACTCCAATACTTTGGCCACCTCATGGGAAGAGTTGACTCACTGGAAAAGACCCTGATGCTGGGAGGGATTGGGGGCAGGAGGAGAAGGGGACGACAGAGGATGAGATGGCTGGATGGCATCACCGACTTGACAGACATGAGTTTGAGTAAACTCTGGGAGTTGGTGATGGACAGGGAGGCCTGGCGTGCTGTGATTCATGGGGTCGCAAAGAGTTGGACATGACTGAGCGACTGAACTGAACTGATCCTCAAAAGGAAGGTGTCTTTACCACAAACAATTCAGTTTTTGCTGGTATAACTTCCTTGCCTTTGTTCCCTCCTAAGTCTTCCACTTTGTACAGCTCATTGGAGTGCCTATCCCTGCTTAGATGGGATGATGCCTGATCCATGAATTGTTGAATAAAGCCAAAAAGATCCTCAACGTTTGTTGTTGTTCAGTCATTCAGTCGTGTCTGACTCTTTGTGACCCCATGGACTGCAGCACGCCAGGCTTCCCTGTCCTTAACCATCTCCTGGAGCTTGCTCAAACTCCTGTCCATTGAGTCGGCGATGCCATCCAACCATCTCATCCTGTGTCCTCCACTTCTCCTGCCTTTGATCTTTCCCAGCATCAGGCTCTTTTCCAGTGAGTCAGCTCTTTGCATCAGATGGTCAAAGTATTGGAACTTTAGCACTAGTCCTTCCAATGACTATTCAGGGTTAATTTCTTTCAGGATTTGATCTGATTGATCTGGTTTGATCTCCATGCTGTCCAAGAGACTCACAAGAGTCTTCTCCAACACCACACTTCAAAAGCATCAATTCTCTGGCGCTTGACTTTCGAAGTTTACTCAGTTGAATTATGGTTTTTTAACACTACTCACTGCAAGGTGAGATGCTCAAGTCACCAGCCCAGAGCAATTATCTCAATGGCTCTAGGACTTACTTTCCTGGGTATCTCAAAACTGGGAAAAGGGCACAGTGTAACAGATACAGACAAAGGTCCATATAATGAAAGCTATGTTTCTTCCAATAGTAACATATGGTGTGAGAGTTGGACCATAAAGAAGGCTGAGCGCCGAAGAATTGATGCTTTTTGTGGTGCTAGAGTAGACTCTTGAGAGTCCTTTGGACAGCAAGGAGATCAAATCAGTCAATCCTAAAGGAAATTAACTCTGAATATTCATTGAAAGAACTGATGCTGAAGCTGAAGCTCCAATACTTTGGCCACCTGATGAGAAGATCTGACTCATTAGAAAAGACCCTGGAGAGACTGAAGGAAAAAGAAGGGGGCAGCAGACAGTGAGATGGTTAGATAGCAACACTGACTCAATGGACATGAATCTGAGCAAATTTCTGGAGACAGTGAAGGACAGAAGAGCCTGGCATGCTGCAGTCCATGGGGTCTCAGTCGAACACCACTTAGCGAATGAATGACAAAAATTAACAGATACAAATCTGTCCCTGAAAATATATCTATTTCTCCTATAATAAATTAATAAAGTCTTCTGATTTAAAAATGGTTCCTGGAAATTCCTTGGTGGTCCAGGGGTTAGGACTCAGCACTCTTACTGTAAAGGGCCAGGGTTGTTCAACCCTTGGTGGGGAAATTAAGATTCCACAAGTCACACAGTGAAGCCACACACACACACCAAAAAAAAAAAAAGCTAAGAACTTGCCTAGCATGGATATTCCCTGAAAAACTGTTTAAATGCCTTGAAACATTAAAGCTTTGCTTATTTATTTGGCTATAGTGGGTCTCTGTTGCTGCACATGGGCTTTCTCTAGTTGTGGTGCACAGGTTTCTCATTAGTGGCTTCTGTTGTTGAGCAAGGCTCTAGGCACATGGGCTTCAGTAGTTGCAGCACAGAGGCTCAGTTGCTCACTGGCATGTGGGATATTCCTGGATCAGGGATTGGATTTGTGTCCCTTGCATTGCAAGGTGGATTTTTAACCACTGGACCACCAGGGAAGTCCTAAATGCCTTTAAACATTTATTGAGTAAATGTCCTAGGCTTGGTAAGAGAGAAAAAATAATAAAATAAGGTCCTTGCTTTAAAGGAGTCTGAAGTTCAGTTGGGGCAGACAGACATAAATAGATAATTGTAAAGAAGTATGAGAAAGGTCATAACTGATTTATGAACAAAGTGACATCAGCACTTGGACATAACTTGAGGTTTTAGGGATGAATGGGAAAAATCGCTACCATGCCAAGGAGGAGAAAATTGCATGTCACTGCTTCAAACAGCTAAGTTATTTAGACAGAAAGATAAGTTTCTCTCCTTGAAAAACTGATGACCAGACTTCCTATACAAGGTACTACAAAGTACCACAATCTGGTACACCCAGGGAGCGTTTCCCGTCAGGTTATCATAGTGAATGCTTGCCTAGGAAAGAGGTTCCGAAGATTCAACTGAAGTGTTTATAGAAAATTATCAGATATCACCAGGGCTTCAAGAAACTTGAAGATAGAACTCAAACACAGCTTCAGTTAAGCGCTTCGCTTTTCTCAAACAGTTGAAAAGTGTTAACTTTTTCCTGATTGTGTCACTCAACCTGCTGAAAATTAGTGAGTTACGCGGCTCTGATCTTTCCGGGAGCGTGTTTCGGGGGGGTGGGGGTGGGGCCAGGGCCAAAAAGGAACCACTGATGACAGGCAAGATAAAGGCCAAGAGGGAGACATCAGATCACAGCCTCGGATTTCTACCGATTTCAAGTTTTCTTTAGGTGATCACCAACCTGACTGGTTCCAGCATCCACCCTATCTTCACCTTCCCCTTGCCTTTCTGTCTTTCTCTTCCTCCACCGGTTTTCCCGGATTCCTGGGTCTCCAGGCTCGGGAGCTGACCACTTTCCCCGCAGGCCCGCCCTTCCCAGGTACCATTCTCAACTGCGGGCCTAGCCCAGGAGCGCGCTCAGCTTGCGCAGCCGCGAGCTAGGCACGGTGGGGCGGGGCGGCCGCAGGCCTAGGGGGCGGGGCCTGGCCGGCGGCCGTGGGTGGGCGGGCCCAGGCGAGGCGGCGCCGGCGCACTGTGTCCGCTGTGCTGAGCCGCAGCCATGGAGCAGGCAGCTCCCGACCCTGAGCGGCTTTTGCAGCCCGCGCCGCTGGAGCCGCTGAGCCACCCCGACACGGGGCTGGAGTCCGTGGTCGGTGAGGGAGCGAAGGGGGCCCGGGACGAGGGCCCCGGGGACGGCACGGTGAGGAGAAGGGGCGGCAGAGACCCCCGCGGCCTGGGTCGCGGCCTAGAGGGCAGAATGGACTGGTTTACGCTGACCGCGCCGGTGGGCTCGCTCGGCCGAGAGGCCCCGCGGTGACGGGGAAGCGGGGTGCAGTCAGTGAGGGGAGGCTCGATGGGAAAAGGGGGTTCTGAGTAGGGGGCGAACGCCAGGGCTGCGGGACCGCAGGAAGGGTGGAGAGGGCGCGGCCGAGGGAGCGGAGGGGTTCCGTGGGCGCGGCTCGGCGGGCGCGGGCGCGGGGCCGGGAAAGCGCCAGGCTGAGGCAGGTGCGGTTTCGGGGTCGGGAACCCGGGGCGGTTGGACTCAAAGAGGAACGCTGATGTTTCTGGCATCTATGAGTCGTGTGGAGGAGTAGGCTTAACCCGGGGCGGTGGCAGCGCTGTTTGGGAAGGAAGAGAAGGGGGGACTTGAGGAGCAGTCTGGGGCACGAGGGTGTTTGGCTTGATGCCACCATCGGAAGATGGAATAAAGTGTTAGAGTCAAGGAAAGGTAGAAATGAGAAAGATTTTGGTTTGTGTGTTTTAAAATGTATTTTTAGTTGGAGGATAATAAAATTGCTTTACTATATTGCATTGGTTTCTGCCACACGAGAACGTGAATCAGCCATAAGTATACATGGGTCCCCTCCTTGTTGAACCTCCCCCCATCCAGATTCTTTCTTGACTTGTAATTTCCTCGTTTGGGGTCAGTGCTGTATCTCCCAATGGAGATGTGTCATGGATATCCTATTGGCTTTGTGAAGCCCCTTTGATAGTGATTTTCATTTGCTTGACGGAAGGAGAAAATGCATCATTTTATATTTGTAATTGCTTTCATTCCAAAGTGTTTTCACGCATAATGCAAGATGAGTAGACCACGTTAAATAAAGTGATTCGGAAACTCAGTCGAGTACTTATCATCAGACCACCCTAATGAGCCTGTGCAGTGCTCATCCATTTTGATTCTTTTTTTTTCTGAAACAAGTTCTAAATACAAAACTGCCCATCCTTGTGATAAATGGATAAAGAAAAGTTAAAAGTTGTTTGCTGACTGTAACTAGAAAGACAACTAGTTAAGAATTTCAACACTAGTTAAAGTTCAACACTTAAGCACTAGCTATTTAAGAAAGATTTAACTAGCTAGGAGTTTACGGTTTTGCCTACTTGGGGGAAATGTCGAGGTATATAGAATCGCATGAAGACTTCTATGGGTGAATTTTAAGTTTTTCATTTATTTTCTTCCTAAATTATAGAATTATTTGTGGAGACGTATCTTATATGAAATGTGAGAGCAGTGTGTGTATTCTGTAGTCCATAAACTTGAATCTTCCGTGAATTGCTTTTTTAATGCAGATTCCACTTGTGACTTAGTTTTTGTTTCTTAAAAAAAACAAAAAATTTTTGTTAGGTAGTTAGAATAGGGAAATGAATTTATAATTAATGCAGAAAAGAGTCTCACAAAATAAAAATCAGTTTCTTTGAAACCTCTGTATATTCTCCTGTGTTACATCCGCTCCCTTGACCACAGAAGTAATCTTTATTCTGAATTTTGTATTAACAGTTCTCTAGCTTTATATATATATGTAAATGTCCCTAAACAACATGTTGTTTAGTTTTACTTCATTTTGAAATTTACATAATTGGACTAGTTTTACTATGACTTCCTTTTTTTTGCTCTATACTGTTTTGGGGGTTCATCCAAAATGTAACTTAGTTTGTTTTTATAGTCATGACTCTATAGTATACCATTTTGTAGGTATTCTAAAGTTGATTTCTCTTTTCCTCGTTTTACAGACATTAGGGTTGTTTCAAGATTCTTGCTGTTTCTGAAAGATTACTACCACTATGAACTTCTTACATGTAAGAAATACATAGTGCAAGTATATATAAACATATATATAAACTTAACAGTGGAATTGCTGGATTATAGGGTGGTAGCATAAGACATAGAATTGTGTGTGTGTGTGTGCGCGGTCAGCTATTCAGTCATGTTTGACTTTGCAACCCCATAGACTATAACCCACTAGAATTTTCTAGCAAGAATACTGGAGTGGGTTGCTGTTTCCTACTCCAAGGGATTTCCCTACCCAGGGGTTGAACCCCCGTCTCTTGCCCTGGCAGGCAGATCCTTTAGCAGTGTGCCACCTGGGTAGCACTGTAGCATAGTAAGTAGTGCCAAGTTGTTTTCTAGAGTGAACACAACCAGTTTGTATTCGCATCAGTAGTGCCTGCTGCTGTCTATCCTTATCAGCACTTAATATTTTCAGACTTTATTTGTCAACCATATGGATATGTGTTAAAGCAATTTTAGATTGTTTCAAAGGGTAAGAATCCTATCTTTTGTTAGCTGCATCGTGAGTTTAATTTTGATTATGACTGAACATTTTGGTAATTTTTTTTGTGAAAGCCTTTGGATGATTATCTAATACAAAGTTGCAACTATAGTATAAAATCCATTTGTGTTAAGTGATTATAAATATCTCATTTGAAATAAAAAACCTGTGTTTGGTTTAAGATATTTGAAATCCCAAAGATGCCATCATACAGTAAAAGTTGTAGTTATGTAATATTACCTGACTTTTATATGTGTCGTAAGAGACCATTCGAGATTGCCCAAACTTAAGAGTTTCCTCAAACAATGATTTAGTAATTTATAGAGATAATTTAGTAATTTTTAGAAATGCAAGCCATTTGGACAATTATTTCAGAATCACCTGGAGCTTATAAACACACACATAACACATTCACATAAACTCTGTATGTTGGCCCCTCCTTCTAAAGGTCTGCAGTCTCAGAAGATCTACTCCTTTTCCTCTTTCTATCCCCTCTTCCTCTCTAATCCATCCCCAGTTGAGAAGTATTGCAATAACCATAGCCACGTTGCCACTGTTACTGGTAGATAGGAATGTGGTCTGGGCAGACAGGTAAGTTACATTTGTTTGTGCTAGACACTGTGAGGCTCTACTTTTCATTTAATTTTCAAAATTACTCCCAAAAGATATAAAAGACCTACAGAGATAAGGAAGCAGAGGCTCTGAGAGAAGTGATTTGGCCAAAGTCACACACTGGTGACATGGCTGGGATTTGGGCCCAGGTCCTCCTGGCTTTGACATCAGTGCTCTGTTCGTGAAACCATGGAGCTTCACTCCCTGTCCGCCTCCCCCCGCCCAACCAAAAAAAAAAAGATTAAAAATAGTCTTGTAAATTGTAAAATACTATACTGAAATAGTTTTTGTTTTATTAAGATTTGTTATTTTAAGAAGAGCTCTGAATAATCTGTTGATTTAGCAATAACTTTTTCACCATAAAAATATCTATACAGATAGTGTGCAGAAATGACAAAAAGCCTCATCAGCATTATTTTTGACTATACATTTTGGTTGGAGAGTCAATTGTGCCAGTTGCCCTACCCTGAGGGATAGTGGAAACAAGCTCTGCCAAGGTTGCAAATCTTTTCCAGTTTTAAACATCACTAATTTTAACATTCTTTAAATTATTTTGTAAACTCTTACTCTCTTGTTTTTGTTTCTGTGAGTCTTCATCCTCTTCCTTTCCAGTGTCTGGTTAGAAGTTTCCTTTCTTTTTGTACTTTTTCCTTATAAGGAAGAGTGTATTTTTTTTTTTTTTTAAGTATTGTCAGTTTTATTTAAAGTAGTTTAGAATATGAAACATGAGGGAGGACTGCAATCTTCAAGAGAGTAGTCATTAGTCCTGGCGAGGAAGTAGCAAGGGAATGGAGGTTAAAACGCTGCTTTTTTTAGGCTGGAAGATTCCATTGAGTTGGCAGTTAGCAGCATTTGCTCAGAGAAGCGCTGCCTGAGGGATTCAGAGTGTCTTTCTTTTGTAGGGAGGGTTCTTGAGGCCTCTGAGTGCTCCTGGGGCTAAGAGTGCTTGAGCAACTGTTGCTTGAAAAATGCCTGTACACTATTAGTTCCTTCGCAGGTTGGTAACAGAAAGCTGAGTGAGGAGTCCAGAAGTGAGTGGAGGAAGGTTTGAGACATTTGTGGTAAAGATAATGTGGAAAAGGAAAGGTATAGGCAGAGTTATAGAATTTGTCAGTTTAGAGCTTCCCTGGTAGCTCAGCTGGTAAAGAATCTGCCTGCAGTGCTGTAGACCCTGGTTCAATTCCTGAGTTGGGAAGATTCCCTGGAGGAGGGCATGGCAACCCCCTCCAGTATTCTTGCCTGGAGAATCCCATGGATAGAGGGGCCTGGTGGGCTACAGTCAAGGAGGTCACAAAGAGTCAGACACGACTGAGTGACTCAGCACACATAGCACAGCAGATTATTAAATAATTCTCAATAATTGCTTTCTTCACTTTCTACTCCAGCAGCTCTCAGTTATTTTTTGAAGGCAACTTATGGTGCAGAATACGTTTTACATCATAGTCAGTACACATGTACTTGTATACATAAGCGTTGTTTCAACTCAGTTATGGCTGACTCTGACCCCAAGGACTTTAGCCCACCAGGCTTCTGTGACCATGGAATTGCCCAGACAAGAATGCTGGAGTGGGTTGCCATTTCCTTCTACAAGGGATCATCCAATTCAGGAATTGAACCTGTGTCTCCTGCATTGCAGGTGGATTCTCTACCGCTGAACCACCAGGGAAGCCCCATATTTACCATGACGAATAAGATATTTGCATTTATTATCTACTTTTTATTAAAAAAATTTTTTTTTGATGTGGAGTATTTTTGAAGTCCTTACTGAATTTGTTACAGTATTACTTGTTTTATGTTTTTTGGCCACAAAGCTTGTAGGATCTTAGCCTCCTGACCAGGGATTGAATCTATGCCCCCTGCATTGAACGGCAAATTCTTAAACACTGGACCACCAGGGAAGCCCCTACATTTATTATCTTAGCTGACTATTTTTAGCTGATTTTTTTCTGTTATAGTTTATGCTTTCTTATTTTGGTTTCTGTTTTTGGATTTTTCTTTGTGGACCATAGTTACTTTGGTTTTATCCTCTGTAATGATT